TGAAGAAAGCAAGGAAAGGATAGCGATCGCTTTGGGAACACATCCAATCAAAGTTAAATTTCAGTGCTCCCCTAAAAAAGAGCAGATGGATCCTATTGCCTATAGCGAACACTCATTCCTATTTATTAATAGAAAGATCTTCGTCCTGCAGCTCAGGAAGAAAGTTCAATAATGTGTAAACACCTGAACGAACTCATGTGGACACTTCTCAGCCCGAGGATGGGGATCTCGGGCCTTCGCAAAATCAACGGCCTCAACAGAACTAGACAAGCATCTACTTGTCTAGATGAAGTCAGCCCGAGAAAAAGGAAAAAATTGACGTTATTTAGTCAAGAATGGATTTAAGGATCTGATTGCATAAGATTTGATCTATGGTTTGTAAAGCTGTAATGGTCTATTGTCCCTCCTTTTTCTCTCGTCATTTCCTTCTCTGCTTCTTGTCCTCTTCATTCTTTGCACTTAAATAAGACCTCACCCTACTTATAAGTGCAATAGAATTTCCAAGGCCTAAGAGTTACCCTACTTATAAGTTAATAGTATTTTTTTGATAAAGTTCAATTTATTTTTTTTTTGATAAAGACTTATAAGTGTAATAGAATTACCAAAGCCTAATCAGTTTTTTCATTTTTTCATTATCATTCAACAAACTTACACAACCACATAGTCAGCCATTCCATTCAATTTCATTCCAACGGTTATCAAATCCAAACCTGCTCATTCAAGTTTAATCTCCAAAACAACATAATGCTTTAGATTTCTCAGCAGCCCCAAGTCCAAGGACTCCATCAGAATTTAGTGAGAGACTGACAAAGAACAGAGAGAATCTATTGGTCAAGGTCCTACTAACCATTTACTATAATGCTTTCTTTAAAACGAGTCAATATAACATCTACTCCTGTTGATTATTTTTTTTCCACATGCTGACTTTTCCTTGAACGAAAGGTCTATCGCAAAACAAACTCTCTACCTCCTACAATACGTATAAGGTCTGCGTACACACTACCCTCCTCAAACCCCACTTGTGGGATTACACTGGTAATATTGTTGTTGTTGAGTTAATATAGCATCAACGTCGCTAAAGGTCTAATCCTTGCCTACTATTTCACCTTCGGTTTGGATAAAAGTTAAATATCAGCAAGGTTCAACATTCATAGAATAACAGAACTCCCAACAATACAATATCCTGAAGACTGAAACTATACTTGGTGAATAACCAATTTCCAATAAATATAAACTGAAAAATCTCTTTCAATATATGATGACTCATGCACTCAAGGGTGTGGCTTAGTCGTCAATAAAGTGGATTTAGCACCATGAGGTCGCAGATTCAAATTAAACGCTAATTGATTGCCTTTGTGGACATAGTTACTTGGTATCTAGATGCGAACAAGCTGACCTAGACACCATGAATTGGGCAAAACATTTCTTACCAACAACAATTACTATGCCTAAGTCCGAAATAAGTTAGGATCGGCTATATAAATCCTCACATGTTCATTTAAGCTCGTTTCAAATCATCATCATACAAAAATCGAAAACGGACCTTTCTTGTAGGAATGCAAGAGCAGAGTTAACATCGAGACCAGATTGGCTGAGATAAGACTGAACGTCTTGTACGAATGATGCCGCCGGTATACCTCTTCTCTCCGTCACTTCACCGGTGTATGAAGAACACGCCGCCGCCGCCGCCATCGCCGTCAAAGCTACTTCACTCTGATAGATTCGAAAATAATTTCGCTTCAGTAGTGAAGAAGAAAGAAGCACAATATGGAACGACGTCGTTAGATTCGGCTAATTGACAAAACGATGCCGCATGTATTGAACAAAATTTTGACCAAATGGTAATTATTCCACACAATAGGTTTCATATTGTAATTTTAAATATGTAATTTAGGATTATAATTTTCAATCTCAAATTCTTTAAAAATAAAATTTTACATGTATATATGTAATTTTTAAAAAAATAAATAAGTATAAAACTGGACTCACAAGTTTATGTTTTGTGATAAAAGATTCACCGTTTTAAATTTTGAAACAATAATTCATGCTCCGCTCAATGAGAAAAAATTGATCGTATGATATAAAATGATTATATTAAAAAATAACTAGTTGTTGCTATTGTTTATTGGTGGTTTTTTAAATAAAATTATATATATTTGAAAGTTTATAATCATAAATGTTTATTTATAAGAGGAACATGTAACGTAGATATGTAATATGTTAATGTAGCACTTCAAGATTTCTGATATCTTGTTTACGAACTATAGTTTATTTATTTGATAAGATTGTTTAAGAATTGATTATTATTTTTGATGATTTTCATTTTAAAGGTAAAACATTTCTTATCAAAAGCGACTTACGACTCGAGCTATATTCTTATTTTCTTTTTTCCTTTTGGAAAGTGGATGATTTAGTGATCAAAAAGAAAGGAAATAAATAGGTCACATACACTAGGGGTTAAAAGTGGTGATGATTGAAGATAGTGTTGGGCCAAGTTTGGAGATTGGGCTAATCCAAATGGGAAAGGAAGCCCACTTAGTTGGGAGGGATAACTATGGGGAAATATTTTTGTACACTGAGAAGTCGTTTTGCATGCAATTTAAGATATTATAATTTGGATATATGTATTTTTACTGCCAGATACACTAAAATAGAGAGATAAACAAGTAAGATAGGAGAGGGAATCGAGCGAGATTCGTATGTACTGTATATACATATGAATAATACTAGATATATGCATTATGTATGTATCTGAAGTGATTCATACTGGAGAATGGATGGTGAGCGAGATGAGAGAGAGGCGAGTGAGATTTTCTTTGAATAACAAATACATGTGAATCCACTTGAATATAATGTATCTCGAACAAATTATACACTAATTTGATCATGTGTATCTGGACATATCTGGAGAACCAAAATCTTATAAGATTCGTGATATTGCAAACTAAATTATATCTAAATAATCAACTGCTACTAAACTAACGAGATATGTGCAAATTTTTCATTATTTTATTTTTTTATTTGATTAGAAATATTAAATTATTTATCCTACCATTTATACTAAAATAATAGAATAAATTACGATATATAATGAAGGAAATAACTATTCCAAGATAACTTCTCATATTTGATCAAACAAAAAAGAATATTTAGTGTTAGGTGTGGAAGCATGGGTAATGATGATCATAATAAATTAATGAAGGACTCTATTTTCGAAGTATTTTGAGATCTAGATTTTTAGAGATCGTTGAACCATGTTAATTATTCTCTTCATTTATTTTTATTTATTATTTTTGACATATAAAAAAAGATCAATTATATTTTTTCATGTTTTTTCTAAGCATTAAATATTTTTTTTTCAAATAATTTTCTAAAACTTACTATTAAATATGATTTAACAATTTGGTAAAAAGTATATTAATAATTATTTTTTTAATGATGTGTTAAGTCAAAATGCGATAAATAAAGATGAACCAAGTGAATTAGAAATAATTACATTACAAAATCACCTACTGCACTCAAATAATTGAGATTATTTTTGTGCCAAAACGTTGGAGATTTCAAAACATGATTAATAAGATTAATTTTATAAAGTACAAAATTAATTTTAAAAAATTAAAATGTGCATCAAATTGACATGAATTAGTAATACGAAAAGTTGGAGAGTCGTCTAAATTTTTATTACTATGAATTTTTAAATATATTTTAAATTATTAATTATTGAATTTATAGTATATTCACTTAGTTTTCAGACAATATATATTAATTACTACCTTTTTTTCAAAAAAAAAAAGTTATATGACACAGATAAAATTTCAAGAGTCAATCAGTTCTATATGTTTTCAAAAATATTTCAAATTTTTAATTTTTTAATTTATAAAACTTTTACATCGTTTTTCCATATAATACAAGTAAAAGGAAATAATACTTATCATTTTTAATAATACCCTTAATATTAATTACATGTTTCTCAAATCATTTCCTTATATCTAAAAAAATACTACACATCAATTAAAATAAATCTTATGATAAATCTTCATATTAATTATTATTTTTAAATTGAACTCTGGAAAGTAACACATATTTTTCCTCACTTGCTTCAATGTACCATCAATTTTTTTGGGTCCAAAAAAGATTTAAAAAAATAATGAAACTTTATTTTAAAATGAAATAATTGTGACGAATCTAACCTCATGTGTCATATATTCGTGTTTTGAGTTGTATCATAATTAAATCGAAAAAAATATCTTTTTTTAAAAATCGAAGCAAATAATATATATCGTAAGTTTAAATTATAATAAATATATAATATTATTAAAAAAAGACAAATAGTTGACTATTAATTTTCTATTCTATTTATAATATTAATTATTTTACTCATCAAATTCTTTTTTTTAATATCTGTAATCATACATCAAATACTATGTGTATATGATATAATATTTATATTTATCATTGTTTTATTTATTGAGAGGTATAACAAGCGCAAAATGAAAAGTAAAAGTTAAAGAAAGGAGTATTTATTTCTGTATATACTAAAAGAAATAATATTTTTCATATTTATCGATTTCAGCGTACTAAGAGAAATATTAAATTTTCATATTTTGTATTTAATATTAATTACATATTTCTCAAGATATAAACTATACCTTAATTATTATGAATGTTATAATGTAATATTTATATTAATTATTTTTTTAAAAAAAGTCTATATATACATATTTATATTTTCTCATATTGCTTTAATATATACCACCAATTTCGTTGGGTCCCAGAAAAACAGAAAAGGATATTTTAAAATAACACATTAAAAATTCAAATGGTTGAAATTTTTGTGAGGTGCTATAGAATGGTCGTTGTCTTTTATTAACCAATCAATATGTGGCAGGTGAATAATTAATGATAATTTAGTCTTTTTAGGGAAAAAAACATAATTCTAAAATATATTTTTTTCAAAAAAAAATGCATTAACAAGATAATATCAGCATATCCATGTAATGTTACATGAAACAGCAAAATTATTCATACAATGTCTAATACTTATTCCACAAAGTACACTCAAAATAGTAGTAAAAAAAGAGTTTTTGAAATAATCTATCTAGTGATATGCGCGATAAAATAATCCAACTCCATTCGAGAAGCACCCCCTTTCTCAGTAGACTTCCTCACGGCTTCTCCCAACTCTTTTGCTCTTTTCCTAACCTCGTCGCCTTCTTCTGATGCCATTAACTTCCTCACGACATTATCAATGGTGGATGCAGTGACCATCTCATCGCGTTTCTTATCCCATTCCGTTATAACCAGGCCTATTTTCAACAGTTCTGTTAACAAAAAACCATTTTTTGGGTGGTCAGAGTGTGTGGGCCAAGCAATTATTGGGACTCCCATAGTAACGGTCTCTACACAAGAAGTCCAATCACACGCACTTAAGAACCCGCCAATGGATGAATGAGCCAAGATTTCGGTTTGTGGTGCCCAATCTCTAACTAGTAACCCGACCCCGTTTAGTCTTTCCTCAAACCCTGCATGAAACTCAAATTCTCTATTGAGGTTTGCCCCGAGATAGATATCAGTATTATCAGGATCCTTCAACAACCATATGAACTTTTGTTTGCTAAGCTCTAAACCCATTGCTAGTTCCTTAATTTGTTCATCAGAAAATGAAGTCAACATATCATAAGATATGTAAAGAACTGAGTTTGGAGGTTGTTCATCCAACCAATCCAAACAGGGGAATCCATTTTTTTCATTCTTAATAGGCCGGAGAACCGGTCCTATCGCCCATTGCTTCTTGTCTTGTCCGATTCCAAGCAAGTCGATAAAAGTATTACTACCTTCCATTACTTTGCTTGTATTATGAATATCACCCGCGGAGCTCTTCCCTATATATTGAACTTGAAAAGATCCTATTCGCATGATCTCTTCGCAATACCATCCTTCAGAGGATGGTAGCTTTTGAAGTAGTTGTTGTTCAATAGGGATAGGCAATCCAACGTGAGGAAATAAGTGATCGCAATACATACCAAAGGCCGAAATCACAGGGCTAAAGATGTATGACTCTGCATTATCGAAAGATGAAATATCCTGAACATTATAACACATTAGACAGTCATGTATCATGATAATTCGTCTTGATTTAGACGAAATATCACGTAAGAAGGAAGTAATGGATTCGCGGAGATGCATGGTAACATTCCAGAATAAATGGAAGTGTTTAGGTACTTCACTAGGGATTTCAGGGTCGAGTGGGGTAGGAATCATTTCGAGGTCATGAAAATGAATAGTGTCTAAATCGCAAGGATTTAACATCGTGGCACGAGCCTTAGTGTCGTGATTGTAACTAGGTAGGCTAAGATAATGAACAGAGAGACCATAAGAAGAGATTAAGCAAGCAAATTGGAGAAAAGGATCAAGATGGCTTTGTGTTTGAAATGGAACCATAACTACAGCAACTCCATCACCTAATTGTTTCTTCAAGTTTGCAAGTTTCTCAGTGTTATCCATTGAAAAAAAACACTTTGAATTTTTATCTTTGGGATATGGAAATGTTTGATAAGAGAGTGAGTGAGAAGTTAGAAGGAGTTACTCCTTAAGTAGGCATTTGGGGGTGCCAAGAAATAAAAAATGTTGAAAGCAACCACATGGAGTAAGGTCTCTCTGTCTCTCATGACATCCCAAATAAACCAATAACTTTTTACTATTGAAATAAGCAAAATTAGTCTCTGAAAAATATCTTAATTTTGATCGAATTTATTGTTGCAGTAGTAAACTTTCATGAGGACCTATTACCTTCCTAGACTATTTAATGCCGTGATTCAAACATACATATTTGCCTACGTACACATAAAAAAAAATATAAAACTATAAATAGTAATGTGTCTACATAGACATATATATGCCTTCAAAATACACTATTCAATAGAAACTTACTAGGGATAAAATGATAATTTTATATTAAAACTATGAGATTTATGTAATTTACGCAAATTTTAATATAAACTCCTCTAATTCTTGTCGAGATAATAACCAATGGCTTTCTTTAGGCCCATAATAAATGGGCCGTAGTTGGCCCAATATATGAAGTAAAAACCCTAATTCCAGTCTCTGGGTTAGTATATGTACAGCTCCAATGCTTGAAATTTAATATATACTTTTTCTTCTTCCTCCTCTTGTTATTTTCATTTTTTCCAAATTTTTTTGTTGTGAATTATTGTTTTGCCTCTGAATTAAAACTGTTGAAATAATTAAGGATATGGTTTTATTTCTCTGCATTTTTATGCAAAAAGGCATAAATTTATTGCAGGAAAGTTGAGTCGCTTCACCCGTATTAATTTTTACTAGGTGCAGTGAATTTACATCCTGTTAAATCTAAAATTATATCAATTTTTTTTTTGTTTTGGGGTTTTTTTTTCCCCCTATGATGGCATGTAATCTTTGAGACCTGAATTCTCTATTTTGATGACAAATTACAAGCAATTTTTCTGAGGATTTTACCCCATCTTTTTTATTTGATTTGATTTATTTTCTATGATTTGAATGTAGTTTGAAAAATAAACGAAAGCTTAGTGTATCGAGTTTTTATTTTTTTAATTTTGAGATGATGATCGCACTGGGCTCTGAGCAGTTTGTTAAAACTGTTTATATTGATGCACAATTGCTGCCTAGAAAGCTATGTCTGATCACTATTTTTTTAAAAGAAAATTAGGTTTAGCAGATGTTTGATGTTTGGATATATGATATGAAATTTTTCGTACGTATAATTATTTTTATCTCATTGTTATCCTAAAGATTTCTAGATTTTGGGATTTTTTAGATATAAAATTTACTAATTATTTTTATCATATTAAAGTAAAATTTATAATTCATATCTTTGTTTTTTAAATTATCCATCTCATATAATAAGTAGGGGTATAAATTCAATTTTTTGGTTTGATTTTATATTATTCAGTTTTTGATTTTGAAAAAGTGTACCTCAATTCAAACCAAACATGTATCTTGATTATGTTTGATTTTTCCTTTTGGTTAATTCGTTAGGTCAATAATTAAAAACATAATAATTTTTAAAAAAATAATATTAAATTTTTTTAAATATACTTTTTTAAAATATAAATCACAAGTAAAATGTAAAATGCAATATTTAATAGTATATCAATTATAGATGTCTAAATATACAAAAAAATAAATTTTAAATCATAATGAAAACAGCTAAAATTATATATAATTTGATCTTTTCGATTTTCATTTTTTTAAAATCTGAAATCAAATCAAAAAACCAAACAAAGTAAATTATTATTTCAAAACCAAATCAAGAATCCATAAACCAATTCAAATTAGAATTCAATTTGATTTGATTTAATCCAAATAGTGCCCATCCCTAATAATAACTATTCTTATTAATACTATATGTTCTACTTATTTTTATCAACCAGTGACTTGAAGTATCAATATTACCACTTAATATGTTTAAGGTTACAAGATTAAAGAACAGTTTTGTATATTTAATTTAAATTCAATTTAGAATCACAAGATTCAATAGTTTTTTTTTTATATTTTTAAACTCCGTGCCAAATCTAATCAGATTACTTTTTGTTATAAAAGGAAGGGAATGCTTAACACATTATCATACAACTATGAAATTTTGTTAGAATAATACTAATTACAATAGCTTGATATCATCAAGCCTATGGTGTTATAAAAATTAGTCCTGTTACAGTAGATGCTTCAAAAACCAACAGATTATTATTCAACAGCACAAGGATGATTTCAATACCTGTATCAGTAGTTGCTCAGTCATAATGTACATTTTGTGATGAATATAGCTGTTGTTGAACTATCATTGAATCAGCATTGGTAGTTGAAGGATAATAAGGAAAAAACATCTTTCTGATTCTCTGATATACTGGACTTGACCATTCATAAGCTGTAGGATTCTTCTACACATGCTTAGCCCTAGACCTTGTTGAGTTACCCACAAACTATTATGGAACATATCTTGGATCAATTCTGGAGGAAGACCTTCACCAGGGCAAACAATCCTTTTCCACCAAAACGCACAAAAAATCAAATAAAAACTTTAACATTTTATAGGTCGAAGCATGTTGATATAGCTGGGAAAAGTGAAGAAGAAAAAGTTACCTGAACTCGATATGTACTATAGTTACTCCATCAGAAATTTGCTTTATACTTGGTCGAAGATGGACTTCTACCCACCCTTCCCGGGGTGGTGCATAGCTTGCCATAATCTGTAAGAAATCAGCGAAAACCTGTTGAATTCTGACTTGATCTCCATAGACCCTCAATGTCTTGATTTCGTCTGGAATATCACGGATAAGTTGAACTCCTCTTTCCCTCAATAATAACATCACTTGGCTAACAACAGCATCTATCACACTCGCAAGAAAAAATTCACCTTTCTCAAGCTCCAGGGAACTGTTTACAAGTTTAATGGTAAGAAACATTACAAATTGAATGAATCGAAAATTGTTCTAACGTTACATGCTTAGGCAACACTAGGTTAATGACCAACCTGTGTTCAAAAAATGAAGTCTTTGTATCTACGTTCGATATTCAAATGGAAATATACTGTCATACAGGTATACACCCTCACCTGATTCAACTAATCCAGATTTCTTGACTTCAACAATTGCATTAAAGCTGAATAAGCAGTGATCACTAGAACATGTAACTCATAAAACACTTGTACATGGACTTTGAAAGTTGTACTAGAGTATACGGTGTCATAGTAAACAGATTTATTTAACTGGGACGATAGAAGAAATAATTGAATACGAACTTACCCATCCTCAATATTGTCCAGATCAATATCCCTTATGATCTTGGACATCTGCCTCTCACAAGCAGCACTTGTTTCCAGAAACTGCTTCTGGTTTTCTGTCAATTCTGTGGCCTCTAATAATGAATTTGTAAAGCGTATACCATTTAGAGGATTCTTTAATTCCCGACAAATGTAAGCCAACTCTTTCATGTGAATGTTACTCGTCTTCTCTTGTTGTCTCTGCATTAGAGTTTTCTGCAATTCAGGACTTGCAATCTGCAAGAAACAAAAGGCCCCAATAATTTGGCCATCCACATTGACTCTCTTGTTTGCAGTCAAAAGAGCTTGAACAAATTTTCCATTTCGGTCAGAAAAGGAAAAAGGGAACTTGTCTATCTCCTGGCCTCCAATTGCCTTATGCAACATGATCATGAAATTTGTCATGTCGTCTGGGCCCTTGAGCCGGCAGAAAGTGCCAAAAATCTCACCAACCAACATTTTCCCAATGATTTCTTCTTTGTTCCAACCACTAAGTTTTTCCATCGCAGTGTTCCACTCAAAGCAACAAGTGTTCTCATCTGATACAAAAATGGGCGGGATCAGAGGATTAGGGCTGTGCATAATGGCCTTGTAATCACCTTGTATGCGAACAAATTTGTCCAGTACAACTTTTTGGGCGGTAATATCCTGGCCAATGAAGGAGACACCAACAATGTTATTTGTGTAGTCTTTGTTAGAGCAAGCATTAACCTCCACAAAAACCGTCTTCTTCAGTTGCTCAGCTCCAAATGTCCTTAACTTTATTTCTATGTTCTTATCTTCTTCACCTGTGATTGGTTTAGCAACAATATTAGGTTTTTCTCTCCTCTTTCATTTTCTGTAGGTGGCTGGGACACGAAGAGGGTGGATACAAATCAGTTTCAATTACAATGTACAATATACTCAAGCTACATAAACACTAAAGAAAGAATGTTGACACCCAGTGTCATGATTAGCCTGAATCTGATATTAAATGCAACTTCATTTTATACACCCATGGCTCTGAAATCACCTAGAGTTGATCAATATTGAAACTGACCAACCAACATAACTCATCTAATGTCTAAATCAGAAAGCTTTGACACAAGTTGTTACATGCTAAATGACACAATCTAATCAACACTTCATATGTGCTCAAGTCTAACTTTCAAGTGCATAGTGAGAATCTCCCCTTTCACCCGGAGCTGCCGTAACTTGGGCTCACAACTACTAACATAATAGCACTAATTAGTGGAAATTTTTGCAGAGAGTATGGGAGGCAATGTATAGGATTTTTTGAAACCAAAAGAAAAGGAGAGAAGTGAACAGTTGATAAAATATTAAATTTTTTGACAGAGCAGGGTAAACACATGTTTACGATATTATAAATTAGTCAATTCTTATCAGAAGCAGTATATATATCTTTATGAACCTGCAAGCTCTAGTTTACGCAGGAATATGGATAATACATGTTTAATGTATTAAAAGTGCCAATGTCAAAACATGAACGTAAAAAGAACACATCTTGCTAAGAGTTTCTTATCCGTAAAACCAAACATGCAACCCCTTCCCTAGGGGCATCCCTTTTCCTATAAACGAAAGACTATCACATGATCTCAATTACTTTTAATGGATGGAAACATATAAGCAACCATCATATTGTTGCATGATGCCAGGAGGAATAAGTAGTGATCACTAGAACCCGTGATAATCTTTGCCACTAAAATTTTTAAAAACCAAGAAGAGCAGACGAGAATAATCTCTCAATACAGCCAAAGGGAACTCCATAGATAATGATTTACTGGAACGAAAGAAATGTAAAGCAGATTGGTATAACCTCTTAAAGCTTTGCGGAGAAGGTTCTGCGCAGTTGTCTGTGATTCTTCATGGACAAGATCATGAACCAACGACTTCCCTATTGCTTCTTCAACTGACAACTCTGTCAACTCGGCAACTTTAGCATTCCATGCATTTATGCGACCTTCAACATCAACGGCAAATATGGGTGCTGTAGCAGTCTCCACCAATCTAACCATTTCTCTGGCAACAGATCTAAGTTCATCCATCCCTTGCAACCCCTCTTCCCGAAGCTGAACACGCACAATAGACTTTGAATTACTTGCATCCTTGAATGAATCACGTAGTATAAGCTGCAAAGAGTGAATTGCATCCATTTCTGCATTCTCCCATGGTAAACTGCGGTTCTTAACAACTTCCAAAAATGCCTTAAAGGAAGAACGTGGATGCATTTTCTGCCAATCATCTTTGTCTTCTGGATGATGCTTTGCACCACCCCACTTTATCTCACTCGCAGTGTGCGAACGGAACCAAAAAAGGAAATATTTTGAAGTTACATAAGCAACAGCCATCCCACAAACAGCAGCACCCAGAGAAGCTGCCTCAGGATACCCTGCATCAGCCAAACTATCAGTACTTAGGCCTGTTGAGTCCACATGACAAGTTAATAGCCACTCCACAATGCCCTTTATTTGGGCTGCAGTTGGTGTAATTCCCAAAGGATAGTATCTCCCTTGGTAGTACAAAGCAGCCCCATCACATTTCACAAGGTCGACAATACTTGGGTTCTGAGTAACAATCCCCGTGGGTGAGTCTCGGAGAAGCATGTCACATAACACTGTCTGTGTCCTCAAAACCCGCTTTTCAGCCAACTGCGATGCCAATTGTAATTCCATGTTTAGTTGGAGCCCAAAGGCCTGCATAAGGAATTCACAGGCATAACGAAGGGGGAAAGGAATGAACCGAGCTGAACTGTGGTGCCCAACAACCAAACCCCATAATCTCATTGCATTTCGGCCTCCAACAACTTCATCATCATTTCCATTTATAACAACAGCAAGTGTTAACGACGCAACATTTCCCATATTGACCATATACTGAGGGTGACAACCATGAGGAGCCCTAAGTGTTGAGCCAACTAAACATAAAGGCTGCATGAGTGATTCATCCTGAATAACCCTCACAGGGATGGCAGTGCAATCCACAATCATTCTAACCCTGTTCTGCTTAAACAAGAATCTTGATGCTTGTGGAATATCAGTAGCTGGATAATGCAAACCAATATAAGGCTCCAAATCCGATCTTCTACTCTCCGCCACGACCTCCCCATGCTCATCATCATGAAACTTATACACCATCACCCGATCATACCCCGTAAGCTCCCTGACACTCTTAACAACAGTATCACACAAAAGATCAATATCCCCACCAGGTAACGATTGCAAAAGCGAAATAGCTCTCACAGCTAGCTTCTGCGATTGCACAGCTCCAGCAATAGACAATGCAGGGTCCTCTGTTCTAGCTGGCTCTAAATCAATCACAATCCCCACATCAATCCTATGCAATATCGCATAAAAGGGTTTCCCCGAATTCTTCGAATGAACCCAAATCGGATTCAACAACGTAATTTCTCGTGCCCCAAAAGCACCTTCAAGCAAACCAGAACTCGAAGAACTAAAAAGGGTCCTCACATCCGTTCCAATCTTGAGAATTTCATTCTTCTCAAGACTTGGAACTGATTGCGGCATTATATCAAGCATCTCACATGCATTTTCACTATAAGCAATAACACAAAAACTCGCCTCTTCAACAGCTATCGTACAACCAAAAGGCTGAATATGACCCCCTCTTTGCATTTTATTCAAATAAGCAGTAATTTGATGCTCTGTTACAGATTCTGTACTATTTCTAACAGATTGTGAATAATCAAAATTCTTTCCAGATTCTCCAGATTGTTCAAATGCAGCATGTAGCCTAGCATCAGTAGTATATTGTGCTACTGCTTTGCTTAATGCATTAGTATTACTTGTACCTGAAAATTGCGATTGATTCTTCGGCTGATGATTACGATCATGTTTTCCTCTACTTCCACTCCCAGAAGCCATTTTTGAATCACTCAACAACAAGATTACTGCATATTTGAAGAACAACAACAATTTTTTTTTCTTTATAGTGAAGGAAAAAAGGAGAGAGAAGCAAGACAAATATATATACAAAAATAGAATAACTACAAATAATATACTTTAAATAGATGTTTAGAGATTAACAACTAGAATTGGTATACCAAAAAAAAAAAGTTGTTGTTATCTTGAAGATAAAAAAAAGGTTGAACTCGTTCGGTGCGTGAGATAAAAACTCGATAAGGTAAATTTTAGATTTGAAGAAATATATAATTGAATTTTTCTAAAATTATGTATAGAGGATTATGAAAAATTCTTAAACAATAGGGGAGGGTATGGAGATCCTTATTGAGTCTATTATACATCAACAATACAAAACCCTTTGGTAATTATTAAATTAAATTTAAGTGATTTGATTTACTATCGGCTCCATACAAGGGATTTAACAGTACTAGATAAGTCCAATATGACAAGTTCGATTTAGAAATCATAACTTCTATTTTCGAGTGAGCACTTTATGTATCACACATGAAGTCCAATATGACAAGCTTTATGCGACAAACTAGACTCAGAAAACATTGAGCGGGAATTGATCCTGGATCATCCTCTAAGTCAATTGAGTCATCCCGAAGAACTATTATTATTATTATATATTATTATTATTATTATTATTATTATAAAGATTAAAAAAAAAGTATATTGATTGTGAAAAAAAAATGCTACACTTTAATGGAGTAGTTAGTTAGGTATATTTGGTGACTATTGAATTGAAGAATGGCAAAAAGGTGTAAAGCAAGCAAAAAGTAGTTTTTATTTGTTTGATTCCTATGTTTTTTTTTAATTTAAAAAAATTAAAAAATTTATCCCTAATATTGATATAAATGAAAAAGTGCAATATATATTTACAATTACTTAATTTAAATTAAATATTATATATCTCTACTTTAATCTTCAATTGTCAATGAATAAGGAGTGTGAATAAATATACCTCTTAATATTTTTGCAAGATTTTTTTTTACCATTTAATTACAAAGTAGAACTATTTATATATAAAATAAATGCAATGAAAAAAAACAAAACAAAAGAACACTATCTAATACAAACAAATAAATTTGGCCCAAAAAGAAAAAATAAAAAAACATAACAAAAGTTGAACAAAAATTCAAAGAAAAGAAACCTGATAATTTGGACTCATTCATGAACCTTTTTTTTCCTTTTAACTTTTCTTTTTTCCCTTTTTCTTTTTTTTTTATGTTTATTTAAATTTGATATAATAAAAAAATATCATCTAGATTTAGTCTATTATTTTGTTTTCATGAGTTGGAAATATTTGTGGTTGTAATGAATTTGAATGTTTGTTTTGGTTATTAAAGCAAATCATTTCATTGGCTGCATTTGCAGATTGACCATGTGCAAAGATATGAAGAATTACCCCTTTGTCATTTAAGCATATTATAAAGTAATTTTTTTTATATCACATATTCTTATTTAAAATTTAAATTTACCTTTTTACACAGCATAACAATAATAACATACTCAATAAAATCTTTATCAGCTCAAGTATATCAAATTTATGTTAAAAAAAAAAAAACAATAGCAAGTGTTTTTAAATGCTTATTACATAATCTTAACAAGCATATGAAAATATGTGCAACTAATTATATGTGTATGTGTTTTCAAAGTTGAATGTATGGCTAATTCTATGTGTAAACAATAATGATTAGGATTTTTAAATATACATATACACATATATATAATTATAATTGCATACGTTAAAGATATGACACTTGAGTCTAACTCAACATCAAAAGTTAGTTCATCAAAGAGACTAGATTATCATCCCTTTATCGATGTGAGACTTCTTAACACTCCACCGCACACTATTCCTCAATTGGAGCATGAAACACTTCTAAATAGAGGCTCAACATCGATGAACAACGAATTGGGATAAGTCGTCTTTGATACCGTGTGCCTAAAGAGACCAAATTCTCATCTAGCTACCGATCGAGACTTTTAACATATATATCATAAAATTACATAATCTTGATATATTATGTCAAAATTACTACTAATTCAAATACTATTTTCATTTACCCTTATTAATACACATTAGGCTTTGCCAAAAATTTAAATTCACATGTTCTAGATTTTAAAACAGGACAACTTATGAACTCAATATAAGTAATTTATCGAGTGAATTTGTTGATACATATATATAGATTTTCATCGAAATTATTGAATTCGATCGAATTTGAAAATTATATTGTGGGACTCACACATGTTGCTTCTAAGGAGAAAATTAGAAGAGATATAAAGAAAATAGGAGTGAAAATGATGTGTAAATTGGTGGTGGACAAGTACCTTTCTGATCACATTTTCTTCACGTGAAGATGGTACCATTATTGACACCCCCTATCTATATTTATCTTAAATGAGTTTTGCTTGTGTCAATCTTGGAATTTAGCTAACAAAAGATTGAGGTTTATTAAATTTTAATGAAAGACTCATTTATATTATTAGTTGAAAGTTCGATTCATTTTTGTTAAAATTTGTTAGAAAAAAGACTTATTTTATGTTAATTATTTGTTAATTGAAATGACAGAAATGAGTCAAACTTTTAAAGCATAAGATATATGAGTTTTTTTCTCAAATTTTAGGTGACATATTTGAACATTTTCTCTATAAAAAAAATGATTTAATTAATGATGTAACCGAATCATAATTAGCCTTGTAATTTTTTTTGCAAAAGGAAAATTATTTTTAGTTAACAAAAATGGTAGGGATGGACCTTCTCTTAAACAGAAATGACATATATGAGACAAACTTTAACGATTGACATGGACGAGTGTCTTGTCAAAGTTTTATGATATATTTGAGGCTTTTTCCCTTGTATAAATATACCTTTTAAATTGAGTTTAGCTAATATTTATGCATTTTAATTTCAAGTATACAAATAACTATTTAAATTTGTATAAAATTAAACAAGTAGATTAAAATTTACAATTTCAGCAACAGAAGGTGTTTCTCTCCCTATATTTTATATAGAGTCAAGCATTCGTTGGACAGGAAGTTGCCTGTAGTTGTAGAGTAAAGCTTGTGTAGTTTTGGAGAAAAGAGTCAATTTTCACGATCTGTACACAGTGGTGGAGTCAAAAATTTAAAAATAAAAATGTTATTATGTAAAGGAGATTGAATAACTTATATACATATGCAAAATAATTACTTTTTCCACGTCTACATAGTGGGGTGGCTGGGATGGGAGCTAATAAGTACGGGTGAGGATGAGCTGTGTTGGATGGTGGAACTGTCGAACTAACACAATCAATATGGAAATCTCTAGTTCGAGTAGATAAATAAATAACAATTCCAAGCTCATCGTCTCCTCTAGACCCTATCTATCCTACACAGGGGTAGAGTTAGGTGGGGGTTCGAGGGTTCAGAGGAATCCAGTAACTTTTTCGTAGATTCTATTTTTGTACTGATAAAGAAAAGGGAAGTGAAATTTAAAGTCCCAAACTCCTAATACTGGTTCCGTCTATATTCATCTGATGTATTAAAAACATATTTATGATGTACTTTTCCTTATATAGATACGTGAAAATTGTAATTTATAGTGTTTTTCGTATAATTTTTGAATATCTAAAACTTTTGTTTAAAATATCTAATTAATGTTATCGAATTTAACTTTAAAATATAATTAAATTTACTTTCGAAATATGTAACATAAAATTAAAATAAACGGAGATAGTAACTAACTCAAAAAGAATAAGAATTGATGAGTATATATGGGTGGATTCATAATTTAAAAATTTATGAAAAACATAATAATAGTAATAATAATATAAAATTAATACATATAATTGAGTCACAACTAAATATTATTTTTATCTTTGTATTATTCTCTTTTCTTTTTCCTTGAATTATATTACTCCTTGTTTAAACTACTACTTAAAAAGAAAACTAAAATATATACATCTTCAAAATTGATTTATGGAGGTCGATTTTTGATATCGACTATACAACTGATATAACAAAACCGACCTATTAATTTTTAAATATCGATTATTTATTTTTCTAATATTATTTTTTAGAGTTCGATTTCTATAAAAACACAATTATAAAAAGTGCATGTATATCATTTGGATGAAACATTTTGCATAAAAAATATCGAATTCGTTGGAATTGACAATTGTTTTTCGACCGTCTTCATCGTATTTTCCAAAAAAATTAAAAAAAACTAATTGTTTTTTCAAGTGATTGTTAATTTTGATTTCTTTTAAGGTGAATATTATAGTCAATATCAAAATGTTTGGATATAGTAGACAATATTACCAAAATCTCCAAAAACTATTTAAGTTTTGGAAATAAGGAACACTTCGATTTATTCGTAAAATGAGATTTTCAGATGCGAATTTTCTTTATTAGTCGAACCTCTAAAAGAGTATCGAGCATCAAGTGAAAAACAAAAAAATGAAAGGATTGGATATAGCGAGTCGGAGACCTCCAGGTAGAAATAAAGTCTGCATACACGCTTACTTTTAGCCAGACCTCATCAATGGAATAACAGTGATATTGTTATCTTATATAACAGACAATACCATCAAAATCTCCAAAACAAAAACAAATCTCATATATAAAAAAGAAAGACAAATAAACATGGATTAGTACCAAACTTGTCTTTCAAAACTTCAAAAGATTTGAGCAAAAAATGTTAAATGAAATGAACTTATTAGACATTGATCATTTTATTAGTCTTGATGATTGGGATTTCAATGTGGACGAAATAGAGCCGTTGATGAGCCTAACTCAATCCCAGAAGCTAGCTCAGAGGGAAAATGATCGTATAGGTGTTATAAAGAGTTCAAGTTCTCGTGTAGATTCGATGTGTGATCATTCTCATCAACAATCTCCATTGCCTTCATCATTCAAGATCCTGAAAGATTATGACACAACAAGGTTCATGAAAAGATCAAAAACAGAACAGAACATCATTGTTAGTGCTGAATGTATCAAGGAAAACAATGGATCCATGTTATCTACAGACGAAATCCTTCGTTTAGGTGCTGAAAGGTTTATCCAATCGTTTACCCTTCGTGGTGA